GTGTACTTTTTACCAAATACATGAATATACTACTGATTTCTTTAAAACAAAATATAACAAATAAATGAGTCATGAATATGCATTCTATAGTTGGTACATGTGTATATGTGTGTGTGTGGACGTATATAAGTTTATGCAAATAAAACGGTGATTTCACTACAATAATGTTCAAAGATATTATTGTAACTGATTTACATATTGATAAAAAGAAACCTCATTAACAAATGGAATTTTAATGACTAACTGATTACAAAACAATCATTAGTTATTTTCAGAATGGGTTTTGTGTAGAGTTTTTAGAAATTTCATAGGTTGAAATCATGAGTCAATTGAAGCTAGACCACCATGGAAAACCTGGAAGCATTGGACGGACGTTTCGTCCTAGTATGGGACTCCTCAGCAGTGCGCATCCACGATCCCGCACCACGCGGGGATTGGTTGAAGTTAGACATTAACACCGTTGGATGCCGGCTCAGTGGTCTAGTGGTTAAGTGCTCGCGCGCGGAGCCAGTAGGTAATCATACCGCCAATTATTGACTGAACCAATGATGCATGAACCCCATACGAGCAGCTTAGCGTTCCTTAATTATCCTTTGTACTCCTAGCCCTGACAGTTGAGTTCAGAACACCCATCTCAACCTCGGAGATATGGATCATGTATTTCAAATGTACACGGTTTATATACAACTAAAACAGACCATATCGTATCATAAAATAGGAAACAACGTTTGATCAAGGTCAAGCCAAATATGACTGTGAATGTGGGAGACTGTAATTAATAGACTGGGCATAACTCAAGAATGGTAAATCGTATAATAATAGTTCATAGGTCAAAATAAAGCTTATAATAAGAGAAATATGAATATGGATAGTTTAGTTACTTAACAATGATACAATAAAAATATACGTATAGTATTAGTTGTGAAATAGATTCTAACAGTTACCATTCCTTATTCTTATCGGGATATAACATTCATGAATATTGTAAAATATAAGGTAATTATATTTTAAATTCTATCATTAGATGGTAGTTGGAAGTAGTCAACAGGAAACTTTGGACCCTGGTTTCATGCTACTTGGCACTCGTCAGCAAGGTGTACCTGTAATCTTTAGGGAACTGGTGCTCCCTGGCGGATAATATCTCGTGTCACCCAGCTTCACAGTCAGAGACGTTACCAGTGAGCTATCCGAGCCGTGACTAACCTCCTGTAGGACTCAGATTTAATTACAATTGATTGATCACTGGGTGGTGATCAATGTCATGCTTGTCTAGTCCTTATTAGTGCAGATCGAATGCTATCAATCATGTTGCAATGTGGCCACCAGTCTA